TGGGCACTCTTGAGGAATGGAAATTGTATTATTGTTGATTTTGGGGAGATGTGGCGCCCAACGTGGGGCTCCAGCACGGGGGATCCAGTGAAGGACGCCGTTCGAGTGGCCGGCAGAAAGGAAAGCAAAGGAAAAGAAAGTAAAAGAAAAGAGGGAACGACGTGGGAACCTGCTACGTCTGCACCCCTTGGGTAAGTGAACGGCGATTATGGGTCAAGCATTGAGCCAAGATAAGATGTTCGTTGAAGGACTAAAAAAGGCTATCAAGGCACGAGGAGTAAAGGTGAAAATTAAGCATTTGTGTCAATATTTTGATTATATTAAAGAAGTTTGCCCTTGGTTTCCTACAGAGGGAACTATAGATCAAAAACGATGGGAAATAGTTGGTGATGCTCTTAGAGATTGCTATAAGACTTATGGACCCGAGAAGGTCTCGGTAACTGCTTTTTCTTATTGGAATTTAATGGATGAGATTCTGTCTCAGAGACATTCTGATCCTCTCCTTGCCAATGTAGTAGAAAATGGTGAGGGTATATTACAGAAAAAAAAAAAGAAAGAAAGAAAGGGAATGAAAATGAAAGTAAAGAATGTGAGGACCTCATGTCATTCGATAGTGATAATGAGGAAGAAAAAACCGAGCCCACTCGGAATAAAATTATGCCTAAAAACCACCCATGAGGGGAGCTGTCCCAAAGATCCCTCCCCGCATGCAACTTGCACCAGAGCTAGTACTGGAAGTCTTAGCCACAGCAATCAGACATGAAGAGAAAATAAAAGGGATCCAAATTGGAAAGGAGAAAGTGAAACTCATTATTTCCAAATGACATGATATTATACATAGAAAACCCCAAAGACTCCATCAAAAATCTATTAGACTTAATAAATGAATTTGGCAAAGTAGCAGGATACAAAATTAACATCAAGAGATCAACAGCATTCTTATACACCAATGATGAACTCACAGAAAGAGAAACTGAAAAATAAAATCCATTTACCATCATGGCAAAAAAATTAAGATACCTAGGAATAAACATAACCAAAGAAGTAAAGGACCTATTTGCAGAAAACTACAGGACACTGAAAAAAGAAATAGAGGAAGATATAAAAAAGTGGAAGCACATACCTTGTTCATGGATTGGAAGAATAAACATCATTCAAATGTACATATTACCCAAAGCAATCTATAGATTCAATGCAATCCCATCAAAATACCAACAACATATTTCACAGAACTAGAACAAGTACCTCAAAAGTTCATATGGAACCAAAAAAGACCCCGAATAGCCACAGCAATCTTGTAATAGAAGGACAAAGTAGGTGGGATCACAATACCAGATATCAGGTTATACTACAAAGTGACTGTAATCAAAACAGCCTGGTACTGGCACAAGAACAGGCATATAGACCAGTGGAACAGAATAGAGAACCCAGAAATGGACTCAAGATACTATGCTCAATTAATATTTGACAAAGGAGGTAAGAGCATACAATGGAGTAAAGACAACCTCTTTAATAAATGAAATTGGACAGCTACATGCAAAGAAATTAAACTAGACCATCAACTTAAACCATACACAAAAATAAACTCAAAATGGATAAAAGACTTAAATGTGACCTGTGAATCAATAAAAATCCTTGAAGAAAATGTAGGCAACAAAATTTCAGACATCAGGACTTCCGGTCAAGATGGCGGCGTACATAAACGCGGTATCGCGTCCTCCCACAACCACAACAAAGTTACAACTAAACTACAGAACAACCGTCATTCAAAACAGCCTGAAATCAAGCTGAATGTAAGTCCTATAACTACGAAATTAAATCAGCAGCCACATCCAGACTGGTAGGAGGGGTGGTGGTGGCGGTGGCGGTGGCGCAACGGGCTGGTCCCACACCCACGTGTGGTGGATAAAAATCAGGAGGCTCCCGCGTCTGGGAAGGTCCTTCTTGAGGACTGAGGGGTCTCCATACCACACCAGGTGCCCTGCTCAGGATTCCAGTGCCAGGAAGAGAAGTCCCCATAACTTCTGGCTGGAAAAACCAGCGGAAACTGAGGCTCAGGGAAGCTGAAGCGGCTGGAGCCCCAGGCAGCTTCCTAAAGGGCCCGCACACAGACTTGTCAGACTCTCTCCCTCTAAGCTTAGAGGGAAGGCAGCTCGAGGGGCACCAGAGACATACAGGGAAGAACTGAGCTGTTTGGCATGGGAGCGAGGGCTGGAGAGGGGGCTTTCTCGGGGACAAACGTGCTGTAAGAGGCCTTTGTTCCTTTGGTGAGCCCTTCCTGGGGGCGGCAGACAGTCTCCATATCAGGGACTCCAGCAACCTGGCTCACACTGGTAAAACCGCCCTGCTGACTCCCTGAGGCCCCGCCCCAACCCACCCAACTTTCAAGCCCACCCAAGCTGTTGCCACTTGCTTAACCATAGGATTGGCCAGTCTTGGATCCTGCTTCAGGTTTTTCCTAAATTCTTTCAAACGAGCAGCATCTGGTCTCAGCGAACCCCATACCTCTTATTAAGTAATACACAGAAACAAACACAGGGAGGCAGCCAAAATGAGGAGTCAGAGAAACAGGTCCCAAATGAAAGAACAGAACAAAACCCCAAGAAAAGAACTAAGCGAAATGGAGATAAGCAACCTAACAGAGGCTGAGTTCAAAATACTGCTTATAAGGATGCTCAATAAGCTTAGTGAGAACCTCAGTGAACTTAGGGAGGGCCTCAAGAGCATAAAAAAGGACCAGTTAGAAATCATGGATACACAGTTAGAATTGAAGGAGGCATTAACTGAAATAAAGAATAATTTACACAGCTTCAATAATAGAGTATGTAAATCCAAGGAGCAAACCATCGATTTGGAATATAAGGAAGCAAAAAATCCCAATCAGAACAGCAAAAAGAAAAAGAATCCAAAAAAATGAGGATAGTGTAAGGAGCCTCTGGGACAACTTCAAGCGTGCCAACATTCGCATCTTGGGGGTGCCAGAAGGAGAAGAGAAAGAACAAGAAATCGAAAACCTGTTTGAAACAATAATGGCAGAAAACTTTCTTACCTTGGTGAAGGAAACAGACACACAAGTCCAGGAAACACAGACAGTCCCAAACAAGATGAACCCCAAGAGGCCCACACCAAGACACATCATCATCAAAATGCAAAAGGTTCAAGACAAAGAGAGAATCTTAAAAGCAGCAAGAGAAAGGCAGCTAGTTACCTACAAGGGAGTTCCCATTAGGCTGTCAGCTGACTTCTCAAAAGAACTTTGCAGGCCAGAAGGGAGTGGCAAGAAATATTCAGAGTGATGAAAACCAAGAACCTACAACCAAAATTACTCTATCCTGCAAAGCTGTCATTTAGAATCGATGGACATATAAAAACTTTCCCAGACAAGAAAAAGTTAAAGGAGTTCATCACTACCAAACCATTATTATTTGAAATGATGAAGGGTCTTTTTGAAGAAAAAGATAAAACGTATGAACAAACAACATGGCAATGAATACATATCTATCAACAATGGAATCTACAAACAAAATGAACAGGCAGAATAGAAACATTCTCATAGATACAGAGAACATTTTGTTGGTTGCCAGTTGGGAGCAGGGTTGGGGGAATGGGTGAAAAAGGTGAAGGGATTAAGAAGCACAAATTCATTGCTAGACTGACAAACCTCAAAGAGAAAGGGGTTGGGGGGGTGGGAAGAAATAAATGAAAGAACTTATATGCATAACCAATGGACACAGACAATAGTGTGGGAAAAGGTGGGAAGGGGCGGGAGGGGGGAGGAGGGGGTCAATGGGGGAAAAATGTGGAACATCTGTAATACATTTTACATCCAACAATAAAGATTTGAAAAAATAAAAATTTCAGACATCATATGCAGCAGAATTTTCACTGATACATCACCTAAGGCAACAGAAACAAAAGAAAAAATGAACACATGGGACTACATCAAACTAAAAAGCTTCTGCACATCAAGCGAAACAACCATCAAAATGGAAAGGCAACCCACTGTATGGGAGAACATCATTGCCAATGATACATCAGATAAGGGGTTAATTTCCAAAATATATAGAGTACTCATACAACTCAACCAAAGGAAGACAAGGAACCCAATTAAAAAATGGGCAGAGGAGCTGAATAGACACCTCTCCAAACTGGACATACAAATGGCCAAGAGACATATGAAGAAATGCTCAACATCACTAATCATCAGAGAGATGCAAATTAAAATAACAATGAGGTATCACCTCACACCTGTCAGAATGGTCGCCATCAACAAATCATCAAACAGCAAGTGTTGGCGAGGGTGCGGAGAAAAGGAAACTCTAGTGCACTGCTGGTGGGAATGCAGACTGGTGCAGCCACTATGGAAAACACTATGGTGTTACCTCAAAAAATTAAAAATTGAACTTCCATTTGACCCAGTGATCCCACTTCTAGGAATATACCCTAAGAAGCCTGAAACACCAATCAGAAAGAATATATGTACCCCCATGTTCATAGCAACTTTATTTACAATAGCTAAGATCTGGAAACAGCCAAAGTGTCCATCAGTAGAGGAATAAATAAAAAAGCTGTGGTACATATACACAATGGAGTACTATGCAGCTGTAAGAAGAAAGATCTCTTATCCTTTGAGATGACATGAAGAGACCTGGAAAGTATTATCCTAAGTGAAACAAGCCAATCAGAAAAAGAGAAGTACCACATGATCTCACTTATTTGTGGAATACAATGTACATAACAGTCTGAGGAATAGGGTAGAGCCAGAAACATGGAAATAGGGTATAGACTGACAACCCTCAGAAGAGGGGGAGATGGAGGGGAGATAAACACAGAATTTATATGCATGTACACATAACCAATGGATGTGGACAGCAAAGCCGGGGATGGGGCGGGTGGGAGGGGGCGGAGGGTTTCAAGTAAAAAAGGAGAAACAACTGTAACAAAAATAAAATTTAAAAAATAAAATAAAATAAAATAAACGGAGTTCATTGTTTTTCTCTTTATACCAAACTTTGGCTTTCATTTTCATTGTTGACGTTAGCATTTTCATGTTCATTAGTAATGTCCCTTCGGACTATATCTTCAATTTTCTCTGCAAGAGCACGAAGGTTGGCTTTTTTGAGACTTTCAATCAAAGTGGTATATGCATCTTTCTTCCCATGAAGTTGATACCAGTTACGGAGCAGTTGGACCTTCTGCTCAGCTGTATCTTGGAGATTGTCATTCTTGATTTCATCTATTTTGGCTTCATTGATACCATTCTTCCGGACAAACTCTTTAACTTGATTTATTTTCATTTGCTCAGCAATAGTGATAATGTATTTACTCAGGTCAATGTCTGAAAAAAAAGAACTGTCTCTGAAAATGTGTTCTTCTAAACAAAATTGCCATGACTGAAAATCATTTATTTCTCCTCCTATAGTACTTAAGAATACAGGTAAGTTCTAGAGATCTAAAGAGTTGACAGGGAAACAAAAACAGAAACAACCTTGCCTTCTAATCCCAACTCCTCCTATATCCCCAGTAATTTGCTCTATGACCTGAGCAAAATATATAACATCTTCGTGTCTTCTTTTCTCACCTATGAAATGGTTAGAAAAGGTCACCTCTAACATCCCCTACGGATCTGGTGTTTAATGACCTACAAACTAAACAGGCAGACAAAGAGTTTATGATCATTTTATCTCTGAATCACAGCTCGAGAAAGAGAACTGAGTAGAATCATAAATGCTGTTACAGAACTGGAACACACCAATAATAACTGAGTCTACGATTCAGATTAACTTTTAAGTCAATTTAGGCAGTTCTATAATATACCTAAATTTTTGTAAAGGAAAGTTTTCCTAAGTCTCAGAATATAGTGTCTTATTGCTACCTCATTTATTTTTAACTAGGAACATTAGTTATAAATGTAAACAACTGCCTGATAAACCCTTGATGGTAAGTGGGAAGAACTGTGAGTTCAAGGAGTAGCAAGACCCCACTATATGTGATTGAAATGAGCAACATTGTCTTACACAAAAATCAGCCTGCTACTCTTATGGAAGCCACCTCTATGAAACACAATGATAAAAGCTTTACCTGCTGAATTCACTGCAGCCGTTTCCTGGGGGGGAATGGAGGGAAAGAGGGGAAAAAAATAAAACTATTTAGAATAGTCTAAATGTAATCTTTTAATTCTTCCTTAATACTGAAAGAAGTACAATCAGTTGCTCGATATATAAAATTAGAGTCATTCAAACTTACTGTGAAAGGTTCCAGCATTACCAGAAACTAAGGAATATCGGCTTATATTTCACACAGCCAAGGAACCTCCGGAGTTCACGGAATGTGTGGAGATTTTCTCATATAGACTCCCCAAAACAAACATAATAAACGTAATCATTCCAAAACTCTCTTGAATGTAACTATTCTTATTTTTGACATGAGAAAAGGGTTTAAATTGAAATTATTTTGTACTCTATTGATTTAATAAACTCTATAACTCCCACTGAGTCCTGGCCCCAAATGAGGAAATCATTATTCATGAAGTGAACTGGTTTTTCTTCCCTGGATAACTTTTGCTATTAGAAATGCCTTGATCCCATGTGGGGAGAGCTATGGTGACAAGTGGCTGGAGAAAGTTGAGCTGTACCTTCATAATGGGTTTTAAGAGCTATCTCTGTGCCTGGGCGTGGATACTGACTCCGTGCTCTGGTAAAGGATGTTTTTGTGGTTTCTCCGCGAGTATCACACCAACGTGAAACATGTTGCTTGACCACATCCTTTTTCCAACTCACTTTGAGCACCCTCCCATTTAAGTCCTTATTAACTCTCACGTTGTGGGAAGCTTACTTATAAGCTGGGCATCATATCTTAACTACTTTTTGATGCCCTCTAACCCATGCACACACAAACAGTAAATGTTTGTTTTAAGACAATAGCAAATAAAACGTTGAATTACTGCCTTCTCTATGTGTTTAAGAACGCTGATGCATGTTTCAATACTTACAGTATTTGGAGGTGTAGATGTATGGGGATCATGTTTATTATAGTATTTTCTTTTCACATCTAGAAGATGAAAGAAATTTCTATCAGACTCAGGTCTCAGCCTTGTAGGAAGCACTACTCTAACATTAGACAAGCATGAGAAAGGAGACATTCATTAAAATTTAAAGTGACCAAACACTCCAAGAGACAGCACTCTTCTAATTTTGGACAAACCCACCCCACCGGTTCAAGTGTTTTAGAGATGTTGAGATATCCAATTACCTCACACTGGCCTAGCCTAAAGCTGGCTTTTGACTTACTCTATGATATAACCTTCCCTCTCAATGTCATGGCAACAGCAGGACATAGAAGCATAGGATATGAAAAGCTAACATCAGCTTGCCATGGAGTGACATTTAAAGCCCAGAAGCTGAAGTACATGCACTCACAAATAACTCAAGTATACATACTCAGTGAATATACACCTTAAAGTCCATATGAGATGGAAGGAAGAAATCTGTAAATCTGCAAGCATGGTTATAGCGTTTAAACATAGAGTACTATATGTATTTTTAGCTGAATAACCTCTAAAGGCAAGACAACCTCTTTAACTTCAGCTGAACTGAAGAAACAGAAACTTATTCCAACCAAGAAGGAAAAAGTTAATGCTTCAGAGTGATTGAAAGTTGTACCACACTGTGTTTTATGGATGGTTTAAAGGGATTTTTCTAGAGTAATTATGATTATCCCCAATTTGGCTTATCTGCTGATTTTACTAGGTAACCCTTGCACAAAATGTACTGCACAGTATTTTAAATTATGGTGGAGAATTAATAAAAAAAATCCTGGAGTTTGAACAAGGATGAGGAGGCAAAGAGAGGGATGCATTTATCAAATGTGCACTGCAATGCCTTTCCCAGGAAGGCCCTTCCTTCGTGTGCATCTTACTGCATGGGGCAACCTTGATGAACAATGAAGGATTACTTCTGCTGCCTGGATGGGAACATAGGGAGGGTGGAATACCTACTCATTGTCCCAGAGTGGTTGCTCAAAAACAGTAGCTGAGGGATAATATAATCTGTTCTTATCAGCTCTCATTAATGCATTTTGTGGCAGGAATTAAAAAATATAACAGAGCTAACTACCTGGTAGAAGCTTTCTTATAGGTAGGAGACAGAAGGGGATTCTTTGAACACGTACTTTCATTTCAATGTGCAATTTGAACAAAATAAGAACTTACACCAACATATAACTGGAATCATGAGAAACAGGAGGAGCCACAACCACTGGAGGTTAGCACTGGATCCTGTAGATTGGAATATTGTACATTTTACAAGAAAATAAGCAGTCGTTAAGACTAAACAAGGTATTCTCAAAGAATCAAAAGGGATTGACTTTTCTTCATATTTTACTGTGGAAATAGGAGAAAAGAGAGTATACTCATTTAAAAAATAATAGTAATGACCTGGCCAGTGATGCTCAGTGGTTGAGCATTGACCCATGCACCAAGAGGTCACCAGTTCGATTCCTGGTCAGGGCACATGCTCAGGTTGTGGGCCAAATCCCCAGTCAGGGGACATGTAGGAGGCGGTCAACTGATGTTCTCTCTCATTGATGTTTCTCTCTCTCTCTCTCCCTCTCCCTTCCTGTCTCTAAAATCAATAAAGAATATAAATAAACAAACACAAACAAATAAATAAATAAAATAAAATAATAACCTTCTTTACATCTGGTATTGCTGGTTGGTGTGCAATTCTCAATGATTCCATGTTCACAACTAGAAAGAAATATAGAGAAAATTCAAAAAGCCTGCTGGGCTGATTCCTTGATCATTTCCAATGACACACTCTAAGTCTCTGGCCATTGAACTTATTTTTGCACCTGTGGCAAACATATTCCCTCAAAGGTTTCTAGATTAGCATCTAAAGCTGGTAAATGTTTGGAACATAATTTGGGTGTTTGGATGAACAAAGAATGACTATGTTTTAAAGTATCCAGAGTTAAAGGAAGGTAACAAACTATTGACATGTAAAACAAAGAATAATACAGACCCTAAACTAAACTTATAATTGGTAATAAGCTGTGCTCTTAAAATAGTAGGAAAGAATCATAAACTACCAAAAGCAATTTCAAAGCAGTTCCATAGAACAATAAAAATGGCCCATCCTAATGTGTGAAGAAACTGAAATTCAGCGAGGTTAAGTGATCTGCTCAAACTCTCTCAGTTAATCAGATGAAAAGTGAAATGCACAATCAACTCTTCTGACCTTGGGTCAAAAGCAAGCTCTTCGACATGAAAGACAAGCCCTTCATGATCTGACCCTGGCTCCTTTTCAGTCGTTCCTACGCTCCAGCCAGGTACCCTGTTCTTCGGAGCTTCTCTGTCTTTGCAGCTGCTGTTTCCCTGCCTGATATGCACCTTAGAACCACATATGCTTACCTTCAAGTCTTAAGCCAAGTGTCATATTATCACTGCATCTCCCCAAGCAGGGTCGAAAAGTTCTAAATAACTCATAACACCCTAGGCACGAGTCTCTTCTGATGCTTGCCACATGGTGTTGACTCAAAAACCACACCTTTTCTGACTCTCTCTGCCTCTAGCCTTAGAGCCAGGAATGTGTCTTGCTCATCTGGTTAGCTTAAGTGGCCAGCAGTGTCAAGCACACATATTTGGGGACTGGATGTCTGAATGAATAAATGATTATCTAGTTGTTTGGAGGCAAAACAAGACTAGAACTCAAGTTCTTGACTCTCAGACAGTGTTGCTTCCCCTTCAGAAGCCATATCTTTCAAGGTACATCTAGTGTTTTAGTCAGAAAATGACTAAAACTTACCTGGTGCAAGGGTTACAGTGTTCACATGGTAGACTGTTACAAAAAAAGTTTGATTTACATCTGCACTTGGTATTCTGGGTCTTGGTACAGTTTTCTTCCACTTCTAAGCCTAGAAATCCAATTTGAAGACAATCAATTATAGTAGCTAGTTATCAATGGGCTCTGAAAATGTTGGGCAGGAGCTGCAGAGATTTTTGAGACCCACCACTTATATGAGCAATCACACCATGACATTGGGAATACAACTAGTGTTTAAATACAAAACGAGCAAGCCCGGGTTGAAATAGTTGAAATCATTTAGCAGAATTTTAAGTAGACAGACAATCCAGCAACCAAGACAACCCTACCTTTGCTTAAATAGCTCCCCTGTTCTTCTAGTCTAAAGCTGGGCTACTCACAGTGTGGCTTGTGAACCAACAGCATCAGCATCATCCGGTAGCTTGTTAGAAATGCAGATTGTCAGGCCCCACCCCAACCTAGTCAAGAAGACCAATGCCGAAGCCTACACTTAGAGATTCCGATTTAATTGATCTAAGGTCGGACTTCAATGTTGGCATTTCTCATAGCCCCCTATTGGTTCTAATGTACAGTCGGGGTTGAGAAACACTGCTTTAGAGCTCAAATAGAGACAAGAAAAACATATGTCCCAAGATTTCTTAATGTCAAGCAAAATTTGAAGTACTGTTATATTTTAACCCGGGCTCTCAAAATAGATAGAAATATTCATGAAAATTCAGGGCCCCAATTGGAAGTATCAGGACAAACCAGATCCCCAAAGAAGGTGGAGCATCCCACCTACCTCTCATGATCCTCTGTCCTTGGATATGAAGGTTCCTGAGCTCTTTCTGGCCATAAACAAGAGCCATTACACAAGCATAAGCCAAGGCAGGAAGAAAAGTTTCTACAGTTTTGATTGGAGCTAATGAACCCTGTTCACAGGGCTCCTACTCAGTCTATCTCCTACGTGTGGGAGATCGCCTAGACTTGGCTCATAAGCATCTAGACCAGTGATTAGCTCAGTCCCTGGTCCTGCTTCACCCCAGTCAGCCCCTCCTGTCCCTTCCTGTATACCACATAACACCAGAGAGGTCCCAATTTCCAATTACAGGTATGTAAGAAATGATTCTACATGGAATACTACAATGGTCACTTTCATTGCTTTTTAGACACTCACCATGTTCTCCATCACAAATTCTACATCTTCTGCATTTATGAGAATAATGTTTCACGTCTGTGTACTCCCTCCCTTCTAGGCAGGGCACACAGACGAGTTTCTCCCCATCAGCTCTGCAGTCACTAATTTTCTGTTCGCCTGCCAAAAAAAATGGAGCCAGTATTTGAACACAACAGCATGGGGTGTACGCAGGGACAGCAGTAAAACATTGCTAAAGCAAGGGAAATAGGCCAATGATCTATGAAGAAAATAGGGGACATGGTTATTGTAAACATCATGTCAAGAGACAGAAAGTCTCCCAAGACAAAGCTGAAAGAGTGACTGAAGGAATAGGCCTATAGAAATAGATGATTAACAATAGGAACATGTGATATGAAAGAAAAGAAAAAAAGAGGCTAGAATCACCAAATGCACTGAAAAAAAAATGCCTTTACTAACTTTCTGGTGGGGGAGGGGAGGGAAGAGTGGAGATGGTGGAGATGGCTGCCACTGGCCACTGAGATGACCTGAAGCATTCACCTTGCTCTGGCTTCTCATTCTATATTCCAAAGTCCATAGATCCAGATAAGAGCAGAGTGTAAGGAAAAGGACATTGAAGTTCTAAAGCCCTCGGTCAACTCTTTAGTAGCCCCATGAGCTTTAATCCCTCTGCACCTACATGTCTTTATGCATGTGGTAGAGAAAATAGCACTTCTCTTGCATTGCTACCTGAACTGCACAGGACCTGCCTACTAATGCTCATAGCCCTTTTTTACCCTGTTTCTTTGCCATTAAGGGTTAGAGTATGTTTTGGTGGGCACGTATGAACATATTTATAACAAAATTGATAATCAGATTTGCTATTTTAATGCACACAATTTCAAATAACATTCAATTTGTTTTCATTTACTTTAGAAATAAAACAAGTCATCCTGTTGCTATTAGTAAGCATTATACAATGATGCCTTCTCCTGGAAATTTTATTCATTTAACAAGTGTTTATTAAAGGCTACTGAGCTGGAGGTAGTATGGGAAATAAACAAAGCCTGGGTGTCCAAGACTCCACATTCTCAGGGTAGAAGCAGACAATGCACAAATAAATATAAGATGTCAGGTGGTGACAAGTGCTATGGGGAAAGCCAGACTAGGGCAAATAAAAGAGTGTCTAGTGTTTATTCTAGACAAAGAATAAACAAGAAAGTGACAGAAAATATAAGGGAGAATCTAAGAGAAAGCGTGACTAGTGACTCCAGTTACTAATGGTGTAAGTAATTAAAAGGAATAAGCAAAGTCTAATCTGCTCTACACACATGCACAGCAAAAATAATTGATGCTGTCTTTCTAGGTACATGACTTTCTCAACAACCTCCTAGCATTCTTTTTGATAAAACAGAACACTTTCTACATAATCAAATTAATTTAAACATATATGATATTTTAATAGACAAAGACACTATTTTGTCGATAGAAAAAAATAAGCAGCCCTGGCCGGTTTGGCTCAGCGGTTAGAGCGTCGACCTGCGGTCCTGAGAGACCCGGGTTTGGTTCCCGCTAAGGGCATGTACCTCGGTTGCAGTTTGTCTCCAGCCCTGGTCGGTCGTGCGGGTGGCAGCCATTCGATGTGTTCCTTTCACATCGATGTTTCTCTCTCTCTCTCTGTTCCTCTCTCTCCCTCCCACTCTACCTGAACAAAAAAATGGGAAAATGTCCTCGGGTGAGGATAAAAAATAAAAATAAAAAATAAGCAAACCAAGGAAACCTGAAATCTAATTCAAATACAGTGCATTGGGGTTTTATAACATGTGGCAATACTTAAAAGAAAACCAAGCCAAAGTACAATTTTAGTTGCTAGCCAGTGGTATCATCCTGGTTTCTAAATGAATTGATAAACCACTTTGCAGAATGTGCCTAGCACAAGGCCTATGGCATGACAGGAATAAAACCACAGGTTTTTTCTTTCCTCCAATGTACACAACCTAAATTTATCAAAATGTAAAAAATGAGTAGTTGTTTTCTTGAAAACAATACTTTTTATTCCTGAGTATAATTGTACATATGCTCACTGTAGAAAATTTGGAAAAAGCAGGGAAGTACAAATAGCATGTACACATCAATTACCCTGAGATATTCATTGTTATCATTTCGGTGGACTCCTATAATACCAATATACACATATATACATATGATTCTATACATGTGTAATCTGTACATGTATATATGATATATGCAGTATACTGTAAAGTCTTATTGGATATGGTAATGTGGCAAGGACTTTTTGATTGATTAATCAAGAATGTCAGTTCACATAGAGAATCATTTTAAAAATGCTATATTTATTTTAGCTTATAAAGTATAGCTATATAATTATTTGCCAATCTTGTGATATAGAACAGCTATTAGAATTCCAGATTCTTTCTCACTAAAGTCACATCCAAAATGCATCACCTATGGCTTCTCTCTCTCTCCCTCCCTCCTTCTGTATGAAAGGTTTTCAACATTTTTATGATTTTTCCATTGATTTTGCCCTCACCTAATTCATCAACTCAGTTTAGCAACTCAGCTTTACTGAAGTTGTTCAAAGCATTCAAACTAGTTTTCACAGAAATAAAATCTGTATTTACGTACCATTGATTATATAATATTTAATTAAATCACATGTGTATATAACAACACCAATAAGCATAAAAAATTTGGAAGCAATTTGAATACTGATAAAGCCTAAAATTCAACAAGAGGAAATAGAAGTGGGGGGAGTATTAAGCATGTGTTGGATGATATCCAGGCTATTTCAGAGACAGAGCAGAGAGAATCAGTTAATTCAGCCAGCAGAGCCATTAGAAATCCCGTAAGGGGATTTATGTACATTGAGGATTATATTAGAAATATATCAGCAAACAAGACTTTGATTGAACATAATATTCCAGCCTTAGGCTACTTCAAAATTTACTTAATTCTACTTCATTGGGTATCATAAAATGTCACACGTATAGTGCTTCCCTTCAGTTTGACAATTTTCTTAAGACATTTTCATATAAAATGATTACTGTATCAGTAGGTCACACTTTTTCAAGTTTTTGACCCACATATCCAAATTTCTTTCTTAAAAAGAAATAGTGGTATATGAGAGTTCTTAGCTCATAACCAAACTCATCAGGGTTGAAATCACTCATTAAATGAATGTAAAATAAAGCAAAACAAACAAACAAAAAAGCAAACAGACAAAAATCCTCAACAGTTTGATAAGCAAAGCATATTATCTTTGTTTCTATTTGCATTTTAGGTTTTAAAAATATGAAAGATCTGCATCCACAAGACACATTGATTGTGTTTAGAAAGTTGTAGAAAGTCAGGAGGCCATTCTTTATTCCCATTTGGAGAAGAGTAAATGGGCTTAAGTATTAAATGATTTAATTATAAGCGAGATCTTTTAATAAGAGTTATTAAAACCTGAAGAGGAGGTCAAGGAAGACTGGTAGAACCTTCTTATAAACGGGACCCATGCTTGTTTAGCAGCCGGAGTGCTCACACGGGAGGCCAGCCATAAAGCCCTACTACAAACCTTTATGGTTCTAGTAATCTGTCACATAAATCCAATTGTTGTCATTTATCTTCCTGTCTTACTTCACAAAGCATCAAGGAGAGATTCCTATTTGTATGAAACAGTAGTCAGTTCACTCCACGTGGAAAAAAAGCTTGCACAATTGCATTCTCTATAGCTTCCAATTTGCTGGTATCTGAAGGATTTCCGATCTGAAACTGTTTTGCATTTCAAAATCCTGATTTTAAAAAACCCTTGTTTTTGTCTGCTGCTTTTCTAGCTCAGCTAGTTATTAAGCTGCAAAATGCAAATTTATTTTGCAGGCTTCAGTGTGTCCTAACTGAGCAGAAGTACTGAGGCATTGCTTTCAGTGCCACCGTTACTATGATGTAATCAGTTCCCATGCAACGAGCTTTCATATCCACAAATGAGTCTTCTTTCGCTAACAAAAACTGCAACGGAATAGCTAAATCCTCTCATTACAGAGGTAAATTTCATTTGTAAAGTATATTTATTTATACCCACATCAAACAAGTGTGATAAAGATGAATTAAACTGGTCTTGGGAAAATAATTTCATAGTTGGTTTTTTTTCTCAGTAATGCAATTATGCAGGAGAACCAAATGCGGTAAAACCACATTTTCTTCATCATTACTATATGCTATTCCTCACCCTGATTCTCACTCTAATTGCTGGAGGTGTGTGTAACATACCAGGAAGACATGGTAGACAGCAGAATGTGCCCTGACGATCTTGGCCTTCCGGGCACCCGGACTCCCTTTTAGTAATGTTCTTACTGGATTTTAACAGCTCAGAGTTGGTATTAGTCACTTGGGCATTGTCACCTTCAGACAATGATCCAGCTAGGAAGTTAAGTATCTGCAAAAGAAAAGCATGAAGAGAACTTTATTGACTTCTGAACTAACCAACTCGGTAAGCAAGGATAAACTGCCCCAGTGGCTGTATTTGCCATGGTACACAGGCAAAATCAGTATGGGTTCCCTCCTCCTGTTGACTCATCTCCAAAAAAGGGGCAGACCCACTGAAGGTCAGTCCAGATATCTGGTTCTCCAAACTACCCTAGACACAGCATTATGAATGGCAAGAGCCAGGGCTCTGGGCTCAAAAGTAAACACTGGCTCCCACTTACTAGTCTGGTGACTGAGGATTAAGTCACTTAAGTTCTCTGAGTCTTCATTTTTTTCTATCTATAAAGTACAAATAATCTCTTCTTCCTGGATTTGTTAACTGAATAAAATAATGCACTTAAAGGTTATAGCACAATCCATGGCTCATAATAAATAGGTGCTCAGTAAGCAGGATTATTAATTATTATTTTTATTATTATCGTAAAGTTCCACTGAGGGGCAGCATAGAGGAATAAGAAAAAACATGAAATTTCGAAATGACTGCTATTTGAATCCCAGCTCTGCCACCAACACTGTGACTTTAGGCAAGTTATATAACTTCACAGATGCTCAGTCTCCTGATCTGTATTCCTGTCTTGAAGGGTTAAGGGTTATTGTGAAGATAGAAAGTGATCATTTCTTCCAAACCTTGCACTTAGCTTACAGCTATATTATTTATATAATAGCCATAGAATCAACAGTTTTTATTAATCCTCTGGTTATCAAACCATACAATAAATCTAATAGAATTTTCTTCCCTTTATTCAGTAAAAATGAACTTTACTTAATAGAGAACCAATCTTTAATCAATTTTTGCTTCCTTTTTCTAGAGATAAAAGCCCATCAGTCTAAGTAACATTGTGTCAAATTTATGTTATAGACCAGAGTTTCCTAGAAAAATGAACCCTCATAAATGTTTGAGCCCTGGCTGGATGGTTCAGTTAGTTAGAACAGCATCCTATAAACTAAAAAGGTTTCAGGTTCGATTCCTGATCAGAACACATACCCGGGTTGCAGGGTTAATCCCTGATTGGGGCATGCTTTTTTGGTTTTTTCTTTTTAATGTTTTTAATCCTCACCCAAGGTCATTTTACATGTATCTTCAGATAGAGCAGGAGGGAGAGAAGGAGGAAGAGAGAGAGAGAAACATCGATGTGAGAGAGACACATTGACTGGCTACCATCCCCACAACCCCAACCGGGGCTGGAGACAAACTGCAACCGAGGTACGTGTCCTTAGTGGGAACCGAACCCAGGACTCTCTGGTTTGTGGGCTGACGCTTTAACCACTGTGCCAAACCGGCCAAGGCAGGGCGCTCTTTTTCACCAGCATCTGTCTCACAAGTTTGGTTTCTGTGTCACCAGGCAGCCAAACTTTGGTTCTGGTTACACAGAGTTGTTTACCCATTCCTTCATGACATTTGTCTAGGCTTTTACAAAGTTCATTCACATATATCTGTTTGTGGAGGTTATAATAAACCTATGCCTAAGAACTATAACTGTCTTATTGTACAGTCAAAGAAGCTGAGCGCAGAGTACATGAACTATGTGCTCAATAATCCACAATGAGGAGTGGTTAAGGGAGCACCTGGCACTTCTGGCCCAAATCTGGGCTCTATTTCCAGTTCACAAATTAATGTCCTAATCACTTTTTCTAAATTTAGGCACATAAACAACTCAATTTGTCTTTAGACAATGGCTGGCAAGAAACCTAAGACTTAAACAATGAACCTTTAAAACAAGTGTATGTTGGATATCGTTGCTGTGCGGGGAGAGTGGTGGAATTCTCTGAGAACCAAAACAGAATCCCAAGACCTGTAGTCTGGAGAACTGTGGCAGGACCTTCAAGGCTGGGGTTCTGCTGGCAAGAAGACAGAACTTCCAGCCCCAGTCTGCAGCTTGGGAGGAAGCCTAGTTTCTGACCAGTCTGGGTGCTGAGTGTCTGAGGATAGCCATGGTCTCTGGCAGGGGTGGGGACCTGCAATGCACAAATAATTAGAAACCGGAAATCCTCTGACGCTAGATTCTTTGCATCTGCTCCCTTTGAAATGCTTAGAAACAGGGCTACATGACAGTTTGTCCCTTGTATCAGATGATGAGACACTGAAAGAACAAATGGACATTCATTGATTATCTGCATCACTTTTCATAGCAAAACAGGTTACTGAACGGAAGAAATAAAGCAAGAAGGGCCAGACCCAGAAATTGATGGTACCTCTATGCACATCACCCCAGTCTGACAAGCTCTCCGCGCTTTCCCAGAAGTTGTACACACTCAATTTCTGACATGGCAGTTACAAACAGAGTAACATCTCTGTGACTGAATTAAACCAACTACTGGAAGAAACTGAGAATCTCATTTAGGATTATTCCAAAAATATCGGTGAAACAATCGTCCCTGAGAGATTAGCTAGAATTTGAAAAGAAAGTTAAAAAAAAAAAAAATCACCCTTTTTCTGTTCTTCGTGAAGTGCAAAGCAAACAGGAAAATAATTTTAAAAAGTAGTGGAGGGGGGCAGTGAAAATGGCAGCCTTTTAGATGGCAAGAATGAGTAGACAGATGCCTGGAAAAGTAAGATTTTTCAGTACCGAGCAGACTTCAAACTGACTACATATGTTAGAGCTGACTACAAGCTCTACAGTAATCATGGTGAAGAGTTTCACTTCTAACCAAAGCCCAGAAGGGAGTTTTTATCAAGAGAATCGCTGTGCTTACATACAGCAGAAAAATGCTATGCAGATCAGGAAATATAATGGCCATCCAGAGGGTTCAGTGCTCAAAGGTCAGGGATTAAGAAAATAGAAAGAAGGGAGAAACAAGGGGAACATTTCAAGGAAAAAAAAAAAAAAAAAAAACCGTTTCAGGAGGAAGTTATTTTAAAACAAAAAAAAAATGTTAAGAGAGTTTATTTCTAGTTGGTGAGACTATGAATGAGTCATTGTGTGTGTGTGTGTGCGCGCACGCGCGTGCACGTGTGTGCTTAACTCATTTTTTTTTTTTCATACAGGAATATGTTAGTTGTACAATAATAAAGTCAAAAGGGACAACTTTAGAAGTAGCAGGATTGTGTTAAACCTAAAGAACTTTGATTTATTATTTGTGCTATTCTTCCATTAAGATTGGAAAATCTGGACAATAACAGTGGTCAATTTATAACAGCAACCTAGTATTTGGAAGGTGGAACATATTCTAAATCTTTGAATCATTGGTATTTAGTCCTTCATATAAATATTCTATTTTTTGCTGTTCTTGGTTTCAAAAGTAGTCTTATAATTTTACTAAATCCAACATTATATCCTTTCATTGGTATATTTCCTTAAACTAGTGTTATCAGGGTTATTTTATTTCCCTTTGATCAACTGACACTAAATATATCACCACTCATAGCAGCAGAGTTGTTTCATAATGAAAAGAATTTTGTTTTATTTTGGAAATAAAATTGGACAAAGAGAGGTGTAACATTAAAAAATTTTACCTTTAAAATATATAAAATTGAACTTCTGGTCAAGATGGCGGCGTAGGTAAATGCGGTATGGCGTCCTCCCACAACCACATCAAAGTTACAACTAAACTACAGAACAACCATCATTCAAAACCGCCTGAAATCAAGCTGAATGGAAGTCCTACAACTACGGAATTAAAGCAGCAGCCACATCCAGACTGGTAGTTGGGGCGGAGTCAGACGGGCTGGTCCCACACCCACATGTGGTGGATAAAAAGCAGGAGGACACCTCAGCTGGGAAGGTCCTCCCTGAGGACTGAGGGGTCCCGGTACCACACCAGGTGCCCTGCTCAGGGTTCCAGCGCCAGGAAGAGAATCCCCATAACTTCTGGCTGGAAAAACCAGCGGGAACTGAGGCTCAGGGAAGCTGACGTGGCTGGAGCCCCAGGCAGCTCCTTAAAGGGCCCGCGCACGAACTTATCGGACTCTCTCCCTCTAAGCTTGGAGGGGAGGCAGCTCGAGGGGCACCAGAGACATACAGGGAAGAACTGAGCTGTTTAGCACTGTAGTGAGGGCTGGGGAGGGGCTTTCTCCAGGACAAACGTGCTGTCAGAGGCCTTTGTTTCTTTGGTGAGCACTTTTCTGGGGCTGCGGACAGTCACCATATCTGGGACTCCAGCAACCTGGCTCACACTGGTAGCCCCGCCCTGGTGACTCCCTGAGGCCCCGCCCCATCCAACTTTCAGGCCCACCCAAGCAGTTGCCACTTGCTTAACCATAGAATTGGCCAGTCTTGGATCCTGCTTCAGGTTTTCCTAAATTCTTTCAAACAAGCAGCATCTGGTCTCAGCTAGCCCCATACCGCTTGTTAAGTAATACACAGAAACAAACACAGGGAGGCAGCCAAAATGAGGAGACAAAGAAACAGTCCCAAATGAAAGAACAGAACAAAACCCCAAGAAAAGAACTAAGCGAAATGGAGATAAGCAACCTAACAGAGGCTGAGTTCAAAATACTGCTTATAAGGATGCTCAATGAACTTAGTGAGAACCTCAGTGAACTTAGGGAGGGCCTCAAGGGCATCAAAAAGGACCAGTCAGAAATGAAGGAGGCATTAACTGAAATAAAGAATAATTTACACAGATTCAATAGTAGAGTACATAAATCCAAGAAGCAAATCATCGATTTGGAATATAAGGAAGCAAAAAACGCCTAATCAGAACAGCAAAAAGAAAAAAGAATCCAAAAAAAATGAGGATAGTGTAAGGAGCCTCTGGGACAACTTCAAGCGTGCCAACATTCGCATCATGGGGTTGCCAGAGGAGAAGAGCAAGAACAAGAAATCGAAAACCTGTTTGAAACAATAATGGCAGAAAACTTTCTTAACTTGGTGAAGGAAACAGACACACAAGTCCAGGAAGCACAGACAGTCCCAAATAAGATGAACCCCAAGAGGCCCACACCAAGACACATCATCATCAAAATGCAAAAGGTTCAAGACTAGGAGAGAATCTTAAAAGCAGCAAGAG